CCCCCGCTCTCAGTTCTTTCAACGCTCCTGCCCCCCTCCCCCCGCCACGTGTGCGCTAGTCCCGCCTGCTGGCCCCCCAGGCAGCATTTGCGCCTGCGCCTTGGGGTGGGCCATGGCCAGGCGCTCAGCCCATCTCTGCGAAGGCCGTTTGCTGGAGCTGCCCGTGACCGGCCTCACGCGCTCCTGTCCTCTGCATTGTTTTAGACATCCTTCCACGCCCATCTTTTCCATAAAGCCTCACTACCGCATATTACTCCCCTCTCCTAACAAAGTTAAACTAACCTATCTGCCTTTGAACCGCTTGCATTTTATACTTCTAACACTCATTTTTTCCTCGAAGTGATCTGTGAACAATGCCATGACTCTCCCCTCTAGTTGCAGCCCCTTTTAAGTCCTGAGAAACTTGGAGAAGAAAGATCTAACATTTATTCTTCTCCATCATGCAAGGGCAAACACACACTTTGGGACTTAAGCCTGTCTCAAGGTTTTTTTTTTTTTTTTAAATCAAGACTTGAAAAGTTCCCAGAAGATGAGACTTTCTCCCAGCGCAGTTGTTAGTCCACCTTCTGACAATTACCCCAACGCGTTACAGGAGCCAACATCCCTTCTACCTTCCTGTGAACCTTTGCCATCTTTCTGAATCCTGCAGAAGTCAGACTGTCGGCTGCCTGTGGTCGAAATCCATGATGAATTCATCTTTGTTTTCCAAGGCACCTGGTACATGGCATTTGCTATTGTAAGCACTTGATTCTATAACACCTAATATTCCTGACAGCCTGTCTTAGTTTCAAGTTGAGTTCGCATATTATATTCTTGCTCCCTATGGAAACCTTGAATCAGATAGGAAGCCTGCCTTTTCCAATCTCATCCCTTATCCCACTCCCGCCCATCATACATCCCGCCCATCATACATCCCGCCCATCATACACCCCGCCCCGCCAGTGTTTGCACATGCGCCCTGGGAGCAGGTCTAGGCCATGAAGCGTCGCCGAAGTCGAGGAGGAGTCTTTCGTGGCGTCGATTGTGACAGGTATCCCGTCCTTCTGCCCTCCTTCCTTCCCCTCTTTCTGCCCGCCCTCAGGATTGTTTTAGGCCCTGCTCATCCTTCCAGGCCTATCTCTCCCACAAACCTTCGCTGGAGACTGGCCTCCCGCCATTGCCGGTGACTGGTCTTCAAAAGTCAGCACTGTTTTATACCTTTTCATCCTTCCACATCCGTTATCTCCCACAAAGCCTCACTACCGCACACTACCCTCCCCCACCAGCTGAACTAACCCTTCTGTCTCTGAATGGCTTACATTTTATACCTCTAACACTTTTCCTTGCAGTGTGCGGGGGTGAACAGTGCCCTGACTCCTTTAAAAAGATCGAAGCCCTTTTAAGTCCCGGGAAAACTTGGAGAAGAAAGGTCTAACCCCAAAAGCGGTATCTCGAGACCATTTATTCTCTTCCAGTGGGAAAGGAACTTTTCCAGCAGGAAAGTCACAGTTTGGTGACTTAAGACTGTCTTAAGGTATGTCTTAGTCTTTAAAATCAAGACTTGATAAGTTCCCAGAAAACACTTTTCTTTCAGCATAGTGCTGTTCCATCTTCTGACAATTACCTCATCACTCACCCAGTTGCTAAAATGGCATGTGAGGACTTGGGGGAGGGGCGGTGCCACCCAATACACACCAGAAAGACAGGAGCCAACCTCAGTCTTTATGCTCCCCCTCTAGGATCCCTTCTATCTTCCCGTGGGTTCTTGTCATCTTTCTGTATCCCATAGAAGCCATCTTAACAGTTTGTCTTTTCTCTATTAGACTGCCAGCTCCCTGGGGTCAAAAATCTATGTTGAATTCATTTTTGTTTTCCAAGACACCTGGCTCATGGCATTTGCTATTGTAAACACTTGATTTTGTAAATAACACCTAATATTCCCAACAGCCTGTCACAGTTTCAAGTTGCTTTCACATATTACATCCTTACTCCTTGTGACAACCCTTTGATTCAGATAGGAAACCTGCCTTTCCAAACTCATCTCTCACTCCAGTCTTTCCCATTATATGTTTTGCTTTGTGTTTTCTGACCCATATCCTGTGGGCATAGGAGAAAAAATATGGAGCCACCTACTATTTGCCAAGAGGCAGAGAATTTGTTCTTACCCATAACATTGTCTGGCAACTCTTCGTTCTCTGGGGACCCGTAGATGGGAGTCCTCTGACGAGGGAGCTCTCGCTGCTCCCATTCTTCTCCTTCCCTGGCCTCTTGTTCCACATGGAAGGGGAGTGGGGCCCTGGGGGTTCGGGACTGAGTCCCTGGGATTCGGCCTATGCCACGAAGTCGGTTTCGGTGATCCATGTTGACTGTTGAACAAACAGCCACCAAGCCTCAGTGAATTCTAGGCTCTGTGCTGGGCCTCTAAGTTTGAGAACTGGGAGAGGAAGCTCTGGGAGAGCTTCCTCTGCTCTGTGTTGAGCTGAGGTGCCCCAGTTGGCAGCAGGGGCTGCCCACCAAGTGGGCCCCAGTAGACCTCCTGCCCACCAGAGAGAGTGGCCAGGTAGGCCAGCTCTCAGGTACAAACTATGCACCCCTTAGTTACACTGGAACCCCTTGCCAGCTGACATTCTAGGTGGCAGTTGCTCTGAATCCTTCCAGCCAATGATATTTCCCGAGTGCCTGTCTCCTGCAGGCAGACATTGTGCTGTCACTGCGGCAGTCACAAGGAAGGGCGGGGGCTCTGCTGCAAGGCACTCACCATCCAGCTGGAGTCAGCTGCCCATATTAATAATATAAAACCGTCAGGCACAGAGGGGTGGTTCTATATAAAGAGTGCATCTGAGAAACCCCAGGGAGTTTAAAAACATTCAAGTGTATGGACCAAGCCCCAGAAATGATGACTTCAAGAGGTCCTTGCCGGGGGGTGGGGAGGGGAGTCCCAAGCACCTATGGTTTCAGAAATGGTGTGTCTGGTGAAGGAGCGCCACTGATGGAGGTTATGAGCACAGGTTGTGGAGGCAGCCATTTCTAGGTTCCAATCTGAGCTCTGCCATCTCTTGGCCTTGTGGCCTTGGGAAATATATTCAACTTCTCTGAGCCTGAGTTTCATCTGCGGATGAGAGACATTAATACCTTCCCATGTTGTGAAACTGAAATGATAAGAGTTTCATGATATAAGTATAAAGCCTAACTTGGAATGTGGGCCAGACTGAGGCACTCGCTTTTTTTTCCCCGGCTTTATTGAAATATAATAAGCAATTAGTTCCTTGTACTTACATTGTACGATTCAATGTTTTTTTTTCAATTATAGTTGGCATACAGTAATATACTAGTTTCAGTCGTGTAGCATAGTGATTAGAGGTCTGTATAACTCACAAAGGGATCACCCCACTAAATCTAGTACCCCTCTTCCCCCTTACATGTTTATTACATTATTAACTATTATTCTTATGCTACACTTTATATTTCCATGTCTATTCTGTAACTATCCATTTGTACTTCTTAATCCCTTTGCTCTTTCGCCTGTCCCTCAACCCCTTCCCATCTAGTAGCCCTCAAAATATACTCTGTATCTATGAATTTATTTCTGCTTTTGTTGTTATTGATTTTGTTCTTTAGATTCCACATGTGCATGAAATCATGTGATATTTGTCTTTATGTGACCCATTTCATTCAACGCAATACCCTCTAGGTCCATCAAGGCAATATCTTTTTCCATCCCTTTCCTTTTAGTCTGTGTGTGTCTTTTAATCTGAAGTGAGTCTCTTGTAGGCAGCATATGTAGGGGTCATGTTTTGTTGTCCATTCAGCCACTCTGTCTTTTAATTGGAGCACTTAAGTCTTTTCCATCTGAGGTACTTGTTGATAGGAATATAGCTATTACCACTCTTTCTTCATGTTTTTGATACACGTTTTTTCTTCTTAAAGAAGTCCCTCCAACATTTCCTGTAATACCGACTTGGTGGTGATAAATTCCTTTAGCTTATTTTTGTCTGGGAAGCTCTTTATCTGTCCTTCGATTCTAAATGATAGCTTTGCTGGATAGAGTATTCTTGGCTGTAGATCCTGGGTCTTCATCACGTGTAATATTTTGTGTCAAGCCCTTCTTAGGTTTGCATAGTTTCTTTTGAGAAATCAGCTGCCAGTCTTATGGGTACTCCCTTACAGGTAACTATCTGTTTTTCTCTTGCTGCTTTTAAGATTCTTTGTATTTTACCTCTGGCATTTTAATTATAATGTGTCTTGGTGTGGGCCTCTTTGAGTTCCTCTTTTTTGGGACTCTGAGCTTCCTGGGGGTGTATGTCTATTTCCTTCACCAGGTGAGAGAAGTTTTCCATCATTATTTCTTCAAATAGCTCTTCAACTTCTTATTTTCCTTTAGGTATCCCATGACATGGATATTTTTACATTCAGTTTTGGCCCATAGGCTCATCAAATTATTATTATAGTCTTGGCTTCTTTTTTTCTTGCCATTCTGTTTGAGTTTCCTTGGCTTCCCCATCCTCTATATCAGTAATTCAATCCTCTTCTTCCACTCTGTTGATTCCCTCTAATATACTCTTTATCTCAGATAATGTGTTCTTTATTTCTGACTGGTTCCCTTTCATAAGTTCTATTTCCATTTTTATGTTTTTTTTTTTAAAATCTCTTTGTTAAAGTTCTCACTGAATTCAGCTCCTCTTCCCCTAAGTTCATTGAGCATCTTTGTAACCAGTGTTTTGAACTCTGCATCTGTTAGATGACTTGACTCCATTATTCCTGGATCTCTGTTCTGCTCTTTCATATGGTTTCTGCTTCTTTGTCTTTCCATTTTGGCTGCCTTTCCATGTCTGTTTCTATGTACTAAGCAAAGCTCCTAAGTCTCCCAGTCTTATTAGCGTGGCTTTATGTAATAGGTGTCTAGT